AACGTGGGCATGGCAGTGCCAGGCCTGGGCACGGGCTGGGCAGGGCAGGGCAGGGAGCCAAAGCTGCTTAGGGCAGGGGAGAGCTGCAAGGTGCCTGCCCTGCCTGTGAGCCAGCAGGAAGAGCTGAATCCCTGCAGGCTGATCCTGCTGGGCCAAGCTGGAGCTGGGCAGCACTGGCAGTGCCAGCTCCTCCAGGAGGGCAGCACAGACACCTCTGCCAGGGAAATCCAGCCTGGGGTGGCTGCCACCTCTCAAACAACAGGAGGAATGCATGGAAAAAGGGACAGGATGGACACAACCAAGCCGTGGATTCACCTCTGGGAGTCACTGCCCAGGGAATTCTGCTTTTTGCTGCTTTGGCTCATTGCTGTGTGTGTCAAGGTACAGCCACTCCAGAGGTGTCACCTCCTGGCTCTCAGCTGGCAGGGGACAGAGCTGGAGCAGGGGCCACAGTGCCAGGACATGGATTGGTCACCACCTGCTGGGGCTGCCCCTGCATCCCTGGCAGTGCCCAAGGCCAGGCTGGACAGGGCTGGGAGCAGCCTGGTGCTGTTGTTCTATTTCTAGAGTCCCATGCTGTTGTTATCAGATTTGTAAAGTCCATACCTCTTTGGAGTGTTCTTATGGCTGCAGATCTTCACTGCCTCCTTCTCTGCTGCATGCTGTTCTCTCTCAGCTCAGGGCTCCTCCAAGGCTCTCCCTGACTGGCTAACCCACCCCCTTTTATCCCAGTTCTCTTCAATGCTCACAGCTGCAGCCCATCAAGGACAAGCAGGAGCTCTGGGGCAAAGCCTCTATACAGATATTCAAATACATTTCCTCTACTATAGCCTGGGACAGTGGGAGGTGTCCCTGCCCATGGAAGGTGCAACCAGACAATCCCTAAGGTCCCTTCCAACCCAAACCATCCTGGGATTCTGTGAGCTGCCCACCTTGTCTTGCTCTCTGGGCAGGCAGGACAATGTCCCCACTGCAGGTGGCACACAACACGATGTCACTGCTGCCCCCAGACACAGGACAGGGCCATCAGCAGCACCACCCTCCTGGCCCATCCCTGCATTTTTAGGGATAACAAAAGCTGCTGTTCTCCTCTTTCACATCCTCCTCCTCTTTATTTTGCCTAAGTGCAGCTTTCACTCCACACACAGGGGACCCCGAGGCCGTCTGAGAGTGGCCAGAGCAGGGACAGGAGTTCACAGAGCAGTGCCCAAACACACCAGCCTTTGTCCTGCACACAGTGACACCCATTTACAGGAGATTCCTGCAGAAAACCCATCCAAGCTCCTCTTTCAAAGGCTGCACTGTCAATGCACAGTAATTAATTTTCACAGTATGCTAACAGTGAATTCCAGCTCTCCAAACCATTACTTATGAGCTTTAAACATTTATCAACTCCTGGTTTCCCCTCAGTTCCAGCAGATCTTGAACAATTCCCTGCTTTCCAGCAGGTTGGGATGAGCAGGGACAGCAGGACACAACAGGCACAGACATTTCCACAAGGCAGGAGTGGGGGAACTCAGCCACACTGGGGCTTGTCCTGATGCAATTCCCTGCTCCATGCAGGACCTTCCCTCCTTCCTGCCACAAATCCTTCTCCAATTGTTCAGCAGTGTTCATGGAATCAGGGAATGGCTTGGGAGGGACCTTAAAGCTCATCCAGTGCCACCCTTGCCATGGCAGGGACACTTCTCACTGTCCCAGCTTGCTGCAAACCCTGTCCAGCCTGGCCTTGGACTCTTCCAGGGATGGGGCAGTGTGGCAGTGGGGGTTTTGAAGTTTATTTGTTTAAGAAATTGTTTAAAATGTTCCAATGGTTTGTTCCTATTCACCCCTGTTGAGTTTTCCCAAGAGGGCAGCCCCAGCCCCAGCAGGTGGTGACCAATCCATGTCCTGGCACTGCTGCTCCTGCTCAGAGGTGACAGCCCTGGATGTGGCTACACCTTCACACACTGAGCCACGAGCCAAACCTCAGCTCCTGGCTCCACTCAGGATCATTGCACCCCCATCTGTCAGAAACTCCACCCCAGCTCCAAGAGAAGTTCTGCTCCTGGGAGCTCCATGGCCTCACACTTCTCCTTCCCCTAAGATCCATGCAAAATCCCATTTACATTCCACCACCCAGCCTTTTTCTCCTTACCCTATTCCCCACCTCCCAGTGCCACACACAGACTCCCTGCCTCACCCATCAGGGCTCTTCACAACCTGTCCCCAACCTACCCCTGTCTTGTCACCTCAGCACAGGGAAAAACCCCAGGTTTGCTGTATCTGCTCCCATCAGAAAAAGAAAATAATCTCAGAAAATCCACAAACACAATTTTTTGCCACTCTTTTGCTGCTCCACATCCCAGCCATGGTTCAGGACAAGCACAGCAGCTGCCACCTGTAAATCCCTGTGCAAACTCCTCCTCTGGAGGCTGGGACTCCATCAGGTGCCCCTCATTCCCAGGTTCTGCTTTCACACAGGGATCTCCACACCCATGGACAATCATTTCCCAGGCCCCAATCCCAAATATCCACCCTGGCAGCAGGGAGGGCTCCAGCAGCCACACACTGAGCTCTGGGGTGAGGAAAAATGGAATAAAAGAAATGGGGTCAGGTGAGAAATGCCCATGGGATCGGGTGGGAAATGCCCATGGGATCGGGTGGGAAATTCCAATGGGATCAGGTGGGAAATGCCCATGGGATCGGGTGGGAAATGCCCATGGGATCGGGTGGGAAATGCCCATGGGATCGGGTGGGAAATGCCCATGGGGTCAGGTGGGAAAAGCCCATGGGGTCGGGTGGGAAATGCCCATGGGATCGGGTGGGAAATGCCCATGGGATCAGTGGGAAATGCCCATGGGATCAGGTGGGAAAAGCCCATGGGATCGGGTGGAAAATCCTACTGAGATTGGGTGGGAAATGCCCATGGGGTCAGGTGGGAAATGCCCGTGGGATTGGGTGAGAAATGCCCATGGGATCGGGTGGGAAATGCCCATGGGGTCAGTGGGAAATGCCCATGGGGTTGGGTGGGAAATGCCCATGGGATCAGTGAGAAATGCCCATGGGGTCAGGTGAGAAATGCCCATGGGGTCAGGTGGGAAATTCCAATGGGATCAGGTGGGAAATGCCCGTGGGGTCAGGTGAGAAATGCCCATGGGATTGGGTGGGAAATGCCCATGGGGTCGGGTGGGAAATGCCCATGGGGTCGGGTGGGAAATGCCCATGGGATCAGGTGGGAAATGCCTTTCCAGGGCAGGCATGCACTGAAAATTAAGCACAGCCATCCCTTGTTCCTGCTCCTTCATCCCATAAGTGAGGCAGCAGCACCTCCCTGGGTCACGCTCCCCTCCCCAGCCTTCACTGTCACTGAGTGTTGACAGAACCAGTTTCTTGCAGTGTAAGAAATGTTGTTGCTGTTAATAATTCAAGCTTCTCCTGCCTCTGCTTTCCCCATTTCCAGCCCAACAACTGAGCTCAAAGCACTGAAACTCAGCTCTACTCCCAGAGCCTAAAGTGAGGGACAATCACCCCCACACTCCCCTCCTGCTTCACACAGGGCAGAATCACCCACAGAGACCTTAAAGGATTTTCAAACCCTAAAAATTCACCAAGTCTGATCTGTTTGGTGTTTGCCACAGGGCAGAATCATCCAGAGACCTTAAAGGATTTTCAGACCCTAAAAATCCACCAAGTCTGATCTGTTTGGTGTTTCCAACAGGACCATCCTGCCAGGATGTGAACATCTGGCTCCTGTTGACAAGGGCCAGGGCAAAGTGCACTTGAGTGGAACTGGAGCAGAGGGATTCACTTCTGCTTTCAGAGAAGCAGAATCCTGTTCTCCACATCAGCCCATCCCCAGCAGGAGCATTAATGAGAGCATCCTCACTCCTCCATTCACCAAACAGACAACCAAGCAAATCAAGCCAGCATTTCAAACCCCAAAACTGAATTTTCTCAGCAATGGGGGAAAACTCTTGGAATTTCCTGGATCTTTTCCCACTTTCCCAAAACCCTTTCCCCATTTTTCCTGCCTCTCCCAACCCTTTCCCTCCACCATTCCCACCTTTTCCCATCCTCTACCACTTCCCCTAAATCCTTTCCCACATTCCCTGGATCTTTTCCCACTTTCCCAAAACCCTTTCCCCCATTTTTCCTGCCTCTCCCAACCCTTTCCCTTCACCATTCCCCACCTTTTCCCATCCTCTCCCACTTTCCCTAAATCCTTTCCCACATTCCCTGGATCTTTTCCCACTTTCCCAAAACCCCTTCCCCATTTTTCCTGCCTCTCCTAAACCTTTCCCTCCATCATTCCCCACTTTTTCCCATCCTCTACCACTTTCCCTAAATCCTTTCCCACATTCCCTGGATCTTTTCCCACTTTCCCAAGACCCTTTCCCCATTTTTCCTGCCTCTCCCAACCCTTTCCCTCCATCATTCCCCACCTTTTCCCATCCTCTCCCACTTTCCCTAAATCCTTTCCCACATTCCCTGGATCTTTTCCCACTTTCCCTAAATCCTTTCCCACATTCCCTGGATCTTTTCCCACTTTCCCTAAATCCTTTCCCACATTCCCTGGATCTTTTCCCACTTTCCCTAAATCCTTTCCCACTTTCCCTAAATCCTTTCCCACATCCTCTTCCACCTTCCTTAAATTTCCTCCTGCTTTCCCTCCATCCTCCAGGATTTACCCCCCATCCTTTCCCACCTTTTCCCCAAATCCTTTCCCTCCATCCTCCAGATTTTTCCATCCATCCTTTCCCACCTTCCCTGGATCTTTTCACCCTCCTCCTCCCCCTTCCCCATTCCCCAGGGGTTTCATTTGGGAATTTTCCCTCCCAGCAGGACAAGAGAAGGACACAGCATTCCCAGATTTAGCACAAACTGCTGGCACAGACCTTTGACCTGCCTCTGTTTGGTTCTGGCTCTGTGAGTGACCTGATCCAAGCTCATGATTTGGGAGCAGAGCAGCAAAATCCTGGATGTAAAGAACAACCCCGAGGTGTGCAGGGAGCACTCACCGAAGCAGCAGCTCTTTGGGCAGTTTTTTGTTGATTGCAGCTTCATCGTTGTTTGAGAACATCTGCAAACACACACAAAAAAAAAAAAAAAGGCACAATTTAGCCCCAAATCAAGGCAACAAACCCTGATTTACCTCAGGTTGGTGAATGAGGTTGTTTCCAGATATCTGCATCAGGAAATTCCTAACAGATAAAACTTTGTGCTGCAGCTTTCCAGTCTCTGCACCACAGCTGGATGGATTATATCAAAATGTTTTAAACATGGTGCAAGGATGCTCTGTAAATTGAGAGATGAAATAGAAACTGAGATTTGCAGCTGTTCCAGGGAAGTAAATGATAATCAGGATGTGCTTGTGAGCTGGCACTGACTGGAGAGGCTCCCTCACCACTTTGGGGGATGCAAACACCAAAACTGGGAGGTTCCACAGACCAAACATCTGGCCAAGGGGCTGGAGGGGAGAGAAAGGAGGCTCCAGAAACCCAAATATTCACCAAACAGAGCTGGAAGGTGCAGCAGGCTTGGTTTCTGTGATGGAAAAGGTGCCCCAGAACGTTCTGCCAGCCCTCAGGAGCTCTGGGACAAACAGGAATGATTTTCAAACCACCAAGAATGGATTAAAGGGAGTTGAAGAGGGAAAATGCTGGGAAAGCTCTGTGCTCTGCCAGGCAATGAGGCCAGAGCTGCTTCTGGGATCCCTCCAAATCCAGGGACAGCACCTGGTGCACCAAGGAGCCCCAAGGAAAAGAGACAGCAAAGCCTCACAAGAAGAATCTAAATAAAAATAATTCTGAGATTTAGGATTGTCTTGCCATGGGGAAAATCCAGCACCTCCCAAATATCCTGGATCCAAGGATGAGCATGGATCCAATCCCAGCACACCCCAAATATTCTGTTCCTGAGCATGAATCCAAACCTATCACACCCCAAATATCCTGTCCCTGACCATGGATCCATCACACCCCAAATATTTTGTCCCTGAGCATGGATCCAACCCCATCACATCCCAAATATCCTGTCCCTGACCATGGATCCTATCCCATCACACCCCAAATATCCTGTACCTGACCATGGATCCTATCCCATCATATCCCAAATATTCTGTCCCTGAGCATGGATCCATCACATCCCAAATATCCTGTCCCTGACCATGGATCCAATCCCATCACATCCCAAATATCCTGTACCTGAGCATGGATCCAATCCCATCACATCCCAAATATCCTGTCCCTGACCATGGATCCAATCCCATCATATCCCAAATATTCTGTCCCTGAGCATGGATCCATCACATCCCAAATATCCTGTCCCTGAGCATGGATCCAATCCCATCACATCCCAAATATCCTGTCCCTGACCATGGATCCAATCCCATCATATCCCAAATATCCTGTACCTAAGAAAGGATCCATCACACCCCAAATATCCTGTCCCTGAGCATGGATCCATCACACCCCAAATATCCTGTCCCTGACCATGGATCCATCACACCCCAAATATTCTGTTCCTGAGCATGGATCCAACCCCATCACACCTAAAATATCCTGTCCCTGACCATGGATCCAACCCCATCATATCCCAAATATCCTGTCCCTGACCATGGATCCTATCCCATCATATCCCAAATATCCTGTCCCTGACCATGGATCCTATCCCATCATATCCCAAATATCCTGTACCTGAGCATGGATCCATCACTTCCCAAATATTCTGTTCCTGACCATGGATCCATCACACCCCAAATACCCTGTACCTGACCATGGATCCAATCCCATCACATCCCAAATATCCTGTCCCTGACCATGGATCCAACCCCATCACACCCCAAATATCCTGTACCTAAGAAAGGATCCATCACACCCCAAATATCCTGTCCCTGAGCATGGATCCATCACACCCCAAATATCCTGTCCCTGACCATGGATCCAATCCCACCACTTCCCAAATATCCTGTACCTAAGAAAGGATCCATCACATCCCAAATATCCTGTCCCTGACCATGGATCCATCACATCACACCCCAAATATTCTGTACCTGACCATGGATCCAATCCCACCACAACTTAACATGAAATCCAGTGTAAAAATCCAATCTACTGCCACTAAATGGCCCTTTAAATGCTCCATTTGCTGATGGAAAGCTGGGCATTGAGGAACACCAAACCCCAGGATTTCAGAGTCACAGGCTGTGCTCCCAAATCCCAGTTTTCTTCTGAATTATCCCAAGACACCTGAAATGGGAAATCTCCAACTTCCATCCCAAAATGCCACCCACCACAAGTGCTGCTCCTCTCCCAGACCCTTTGATCACTCCCCAAATAGGGGGAATATCCAAAGTGCTGAGCAGAAACCAGCCTGGCAGCTCTCAGCCCAATCTGCTGCTCATTAAACGGAGCTTTTGGCATTCCCAGCTCCCAGGACTCTCCCCTCCCATCTCCAGGTGACTCTGGAGCCACAGTGGGTGGGGACAGACATTGCCAAGGCTGGGAGAGCAGCACCTGCACGTCTGGGACAGGAGCAGCTAATTAAATTGATGAGTTGATTGATTAGGAGATGGAGGAGGAATGCAGAGGAATTATTTATGGGAAAAAGAGATGTGGCTCCTTTCCCCCCCAGTCACAGACCCAAAGCCTTTCCCAGCACTGCCCAGACCTTGAATCAGGACTCTCCTCCCTAAAAAAAAGGATCAGAGAAATTAAAGGAGCAATCAGAGAGCAGGAACAGACTTCCAAAAAAGAACCAGAACAGAACAAGGGCAGGGAGGGTTAAAACAGAGATTCCAGAAGCAGCCAGGAACCTCCTCTGCCTATCAAACCCCTCAGCAGGAAAATCTCACCTCAGTCCCAGCACAAATGCCATCCCCAGGCTGCTTTCTGCAGGAGTTTCCCTTTGACCAGCACTAATCTAAAGGAATGTTTGTTTTTTGTCTTACTAAAAATAATCCTTGGACTTAAACCCTGACGGGGCCCGGGCGAGATGGGCTCCAGGGCAGAACCTCAGCTCTGGAATTGCCCCTCCCTGGAACCCTGGATGCATCTCCAGACCCATTTTCTCCAGCCTTCCTCCAAAGCCTGAGGCTCAGATGGCAGAGGCTGGGTGAAAAACAGCAGAAAACAGAGGCAGGAATTGGGATTTTGCTAAGTCATGGCAGCACGTACAGCTAAATATACCACGGACATGGGGACCTTCTGGCAAGTCCATACAAAAATAAAGCTCTGAAAAAATGTCACTGGCTATTCTAGACTTCCAGGCTTTCAAAATGCTTCAGGAGATACAAACTAAAAGGCCTCAAGTTTGCTTCTCCTAACATCTCTTTGGTGTTGTCCAAAAGAAGAAATTATCCTGGACAGGACACAGAAAACCCACATTTTTATTGTATGTAAATTTTCAATTCTGTAGCAAACACAGAAGGAGCACAACTGTGCTGCTGTGTGAAGCCACAGGGGATTTTGGGAAGAAATTCCTCCCTGTGAGGGTGGGGAGAGGCTGGAATGGAGTTCCCAGAGCAGCCCTGGCTGCCCCTGGATGTGTCCAAGGCCAGGCTGGATGGGGTTTGGAGCCCCCTGGGACAGTGGGAGGTGTCCCTGCCATGGCTGGGGTGGGATTTAAGGTCCAACCCAAACCAGGCTGAAATTCTATGGAACTGAGGGAGTTTATGAAAACAGATGGGCAAAAGTTGTGGGAAATGGTAAAGGTAAGAGGAATTCCAGAAAGCTGCACAAGCAGGACTGAGAAAGAACAGAAAAATCAGCAGCAGCTGCCAAGCTTGAAAGCAGAAAAAGTTACAATGGTACAGCAAGCAAGGACATGAAACTCTGTGGAATTGAGGAAGTTTATGAAAATAGATGGGCAAAAGTGACCAAAAAGGCAAAGCTCCCACAGCCTCACACTCAGCACAAGGTGCAATGTTCATTTCATTTAAAAACTCCTCCTGGTGCCCACTCTGAACCCAAACACCTGAAAGCACAAAATTCAAAGCTCAATGGAGAGAAAGGGATGAAGATAATTCAGAGCTTTAGGGAATTAGTGGCTGCAGGGTTACAGGAGGCACCTGGGTCAGTTGTGACAGCAAGAGACAGAATTATCCACCTTGATGTTCACTCCAGGGGAAAAGAACCAGATCTGGCACCTCTGGAGAGCCTGGGAAGCACCAACACAGCACCAAGGGCACTACAGAGAGGGGAAGGACACCAAGGTGACACCCATTTCTGTACCAAACCCACCAAGAGACACCCACAGGAGTGGGCAGGAAATAAAAGCAAAAAGCATTCCCAGAAACACAAGCAATAAAATGCTGCACGTCTCTGTGCTAAGAAACAATGCAGAATTTAAAGCCATCATCTATTAAATTTAGTAAATAGTTTGATTTTAAACGGCTCCAAAACTTGTTTATTTTTGGGACAGGAACTGTGTGAGATGATGAACTTGTGGGTAATGGTGTGCATGAAACTGCAGCTGCTGTGAGGCCTGGAGCTCCCTGCCCTCATGGGCCCCCTCTAACTCAGGATATTCCAGGGTTCTGGGAGCCCTGATCCACCAGGAAACGCTGGCCAGAGCCTCCACGACTGCACATAACCACAGGAAATTAAGCAATTCAAACCAAGCCAGAAAACAGGCTGCAATTATTAATTATTAGAGAGCAAATCATGCGCTCTGGAAATAGGTTTTAGGTTGGGAAAGGTGGGGGATCGACCACTGATGGCAGAAATTAAGGATTACATCCATAGCTTGAATATTTTGGAGTTTACAGCCCACCCAGTCTGTATCAAGACACTTTGGAGATGAAGTTTCCAAGCTCCAAAAGTCTTTTGTGTTCTGAAAGCTCTGTGTGAATTTTTGCAGGTTTAAACTCGGACTCGGAGATGCACTGGGAGGTTTCTCCAGCTGTAAGGCTGCTGGCTCCCAGCCCAAATTCCAGGATTTCTGGTAGAATTTGTACCAATTTTATCTGTCATGGTCCACATGGAGATGAACAATCCCAGTACAGTCACTGACACAAGACAAGAGTCACAGCAAACCTCACCCACAACTCCAATCCAGTAAAAACAGCTGAGCACGAACCAC